AAAGGGAGGCACTGGGATTTCATCTCCATTCTCCCTGAATCCAGTGCACCAGAAGAAAGCATGGGTACCACCATGAGGATACCTTTTGCTAAAAGGAGCCAAATTCAATACTGATGGTGCTTGTTCCCCAAGCACCATTAGTAATGCCAAGGAGGGCTGCAGGATTTTGCAGAAAGCAGATACAACAGAAAGTTGTTCAAATCTATTTAAAAAAAAAAGCCCTCCAAGCTTTTAAGGTTGGCTGGGGGTAAATAACAGTACAGGTATCCCAAAACACGACTTACCATGTCACCTCCCACTCATCCCCACAAAACAGTACCATTGCACTCGGTTGTGATTTTCACCAGTCTCCAAGCACAAAGCCTGAGGATTCTGTCAGCATATCAAACCTGCCAGAGAAACATCCCACACCACTAGCCATGCTTCCTCCCACCCGGAAGCTTGTGCAAACAGCCCGTCTGCAGCAAGGACTGCTGCCAAGCCATCCCATGAGAGAATAGTGCTGGCACCATTCCTGGCTGGCAGAGCACTGGAACAAGAAAACCCAGCAGACCGGAGGATCTGAGGCTTGAAGCCACCTTAATCAAACACAAGGGTCGAATGGTTCTGCAACAACATATTTTAAAAGGGAGTCACCACTAGTGTCTATGGACAGATACAGACTAGTGAGAAGCACCAGTGGGTATTAACATTTATGAAGGGAATTCTTGTTGGGAAAAAATGGACAATGATATCAAATATTTCTAATAAAGCATGAACTTGAGAGTTACTTTGCTTACCTGCAGGGAAAAGAAACCAAACCAGCTAAATTTTACCACAATTAATGACGTATATTTTTAATAGTTTCATGGAAATAAAAAGCCAGCTGGAGAGGAAAAACCCCACATGTTACTCATGCAGGGAAAGGTTCAGCCAGGAGCTTGCAGGTCCAGAAGAAACACCAGAGCAGAAGAAAACCGGCCTCATAAGCTCTGCAACTCACAGAAACCTGTGGTTACCTTATGGCAAGTGTTCATCTCCCACTGAGAAGTCCTTGAGAAGCAGAGACATGGATTATGATTTGAAAATTACTGTAATAGAAAAGCCCCTCCAAAGAGCCATTCTCTCTCTTTCACCACCCACCCCCTCCCTATCATCTTCACAAAGGACCAGGCCATTCTTAGGCAAAGCGAAACCAAAGTGAATCCTATAACATCACTAAGCACCCTTAAGGGTGGGACCCGTGGCAAGATTCCAGGTTGTTAAATTATTTTTCTATTCCACTTTTTTGTCCTCTCAAACTGCATCTTCAAGCATCACTACCAAACTTGAACACCATGCTTTCAATAACATCCTCAGTAACACTAAAGGTGTTCAAATAGTCTCCCATTTACTGCTTCTCAAGCATTTTTTTAGACCTTTTACTCACAGAGCTTTATAAGGAACATTTCCCTGCAGCTGCCATCAGCACAGCAGCATTGCACACAGGCTGTATGACTGATTCTCTGATAGTCTCTCATCTGACAAATGTGTCCCACAGTCTTGATTCCCAGAGGCATGTGGTTATCATGGACATACTACCCCTGCTTATGGGAGGGAATGAGAGAGAAAATGAAATAGCAAGCAAGAGTCTTTCAAGAAGGGCTAGGGGTATTTCTTTGTTTGCCACAAGCTTTGTCTTTGTGGTGGTACATAAACACAATTTTATAATTCCTCAGAGCACTTTTGTTCTCTTTCCATGCCATGGCAAGAAGCTTAAATCCAAGGACTGCTTTATGTGGGACCCTGTAACAAACCCAGGTGCCAGAGGGGGTCCACAGGCATCTGGATTATAAATGCAGCTCTACATAGCTGGTCCTGCTTGTCTCAGTAGAGGAAGTGTGGAGGACCAGGAATCAGAGTGGGAATGGTTCCAGGCGTGGAAAAATATATACAACAATTGAAAAAGGACTTTATTATATGGATTTTACAGTTCTTATGTGGTTTCAAACATGTGCATTGTATGTTACCCCTACAGTTGTACTGCCTAGGCATGTCCAGGCATGCCTCGAGTTGTCTGTTCCCTGCTTTCCCTGCTTCTACTTCTGATTGGCTGAAAAAGCTGCTGTGAGGAGAGAGCTACCATTGGTCCTGTCCTTTCCCAGTTCCTCCCAGTTCCTCCGTCTTCCCCCGAGTCCTTACTCCTATTCGTTCTCCTGGTTGTCTGTCTCATGCTTCACCCCATTTTCTGGCCCTTTCCACGCCAGAGCTTATATAAACGCCCGCACGCCCTCAATAAACCACCATTGCACCCGACCTTCAACCTCAACTCAGAGTCTTTGTGCAGTGTCGCGGTCCCACTCCCCTCTCCCCCGGACCGTGGCAAGGAAGGGCACTGCTCAGCATCTCTGCACTCAAACGATCCCTTCTATCAAGTAGACTTTGTATCAGACTTCAACCAAGACCATGGTTTAAGAGGCCCAATCCTGGCTGCAGTCAGGACTGACAACATAAACCACAAACCAGAGTCTGAGGGTGCAAAGAGCTGTCTGTGCACAGGTCTTCGTTTGATCAGTGCTGCAGTCAAGGTTTTGAAGACTTAAGTTCTTAAGAGATTTGGCTATCAGTTTTGTGGAGTTTCAGCCATCTGAAGATACTGAAGTTTTTAAGCCACTTCTGTCTCTGTCTAGCCCCATGTAACGATGGCTGACAGGCATTCGTTATAAGCCACGTCCTACAGATGTACAATGCACGTGCCCACTGTACTTTGACTACTCAATGCTGCACAACCTGTATTTTATTTTCCAGACTTCTTCAGATAAAAAAAACAATGGTCTCTACCACGTATTGGAGATGCTGATACTGTAGGCATCTGAACTCAATGGATATTAGAGTTGAGGGCAGGCTGGAGGTAAGTGTGCAACATGACTGATGAGTCTCTGATCTTCATTTGCTGTCTGCACAGCTCATCAGCATTAGACAATTAATGCTATCTGGTCTCCTGTATCATCTTCTTGCTCTCACTAAGGGCTGCTTACTCAGGCACGATGGCTCCCACGTTCGGTTGGATATTAGGAAGAAATTTTTTACAGAGCGGGTAATCAGATATTGGAATGGGCTGCCCAGGGAGGTGGTGGATTCACCGTCCCTGGAGGGTTTTAAGATGAGACTGGATATGGCACTTACTGCCATGGTCTAGTAACCACAGTGGTGTTGGATCAAGAGTTGGACTTGATGATCTCAGAGGTCTTTCCTAACCCAGTTGATTCTATGATTCTATGTTAAAGGCTTGTTTATCTGAGACAGTCATCCCACCTTTTTAGTCTTTAAAGCTGAGCTGAACTCTGCATTGTATCAAACAATTTTTTACTTTTTAAATGTACATCTTAACTAGAGATATAGTTCTTACCACCACCACAATAAGCCCAAGGACCTCAAAATATTTGCTTTGCAAGAAGGCAAAAAATACAGCTTTGCACCCAGGGAACTGAGACAAAAAACAAACTCAAACTCAGTTTTCCTAATGTCCATATTCAAGCTATGGGATGTCTTTGACAGGATGGGATTATTTTAGTTGGAGGGTATTTCTTCCTGCCCAAGTTTTGCTCCCAATTTGTCACTCTGATTTCTATTTGGACCTATCCCCCTTTATTACTTTTGCAGATTTCTCAACCAGTTTGACAGAAAGAAGCTGGATACTGTCTTTATCTTGCAGGATAAACTAAATTGAACTAACTAAAGGGTTAGTTCATCTTTGAACTTCTGTGGTTTTTTCCCCTGGAAAAACTAAGCAAAATCAATCACACCTGGTAGAGAAATTGGACTGATCATTCCAGTAAACACTACATGTGCTAGTAGCTGTAACTTTCATTTTCCAAGCAGCAGAGAGATTAAGCAAACAAAGCTGCAGCTATTCAGACTGTTTGTCTCATTAGGAAAGAGAAGAGTCATTTGTTCAAAAATACATTGAACTTCTACAGTAGCAGCTGTCTGCACTGAAACATGGGATACATTTTGCTTTTGCTCTGAAACTTGCCTATTCTGATTCATAATTTCCATGCACAGAGTGACAAAGTGCTGACAGAGGATGCAGGAAGCAGTGGGCTAATGCTGCCAGCTTCACGCTTACCACGTGCATGGCTGTGGTACCTGACCTGCTTACTGAAAAGGTTTTAGTACTGCCAATGGTAATTTGGGACTCCTTCTTCCTTATTGTAATAGCCATGATGTATACATTTCTCATTAAGGCTGCTGGGAGCATGTGAGGAGGATGCTGACGGGAGTGACAGTTTTATTTGCCCACTGCTCAGTGCAGCATCCTTCATCTTCCCAACACAGCCCTTGCCAGGCTTTTCTGCCACAAAAGTGTGACTGAAAAGGAATCCTAAGGAATTGGTTCTCCTTGCAAACTAACCCCCCAAACCCAAAGAAGGATCTAAGGACTTAAGAAAAAAATGAACACAGACTTCTTTTGCATTCAACCAGAAACTGTTTTCAGTTAGGTAAACAACTCCACAGAACAACAGAGACTGACACTATCATGAAAGCCAGTTCAGAAGTTGAACCTGCATTAAGACCATATTTCTTCCTTGAGAAAAAAGCTGCAATTTATGAATTTTATTTTTAAGAGCAATTTCTTTTTATCATCCACTTGGGGCAGAGATTGTGACAATATTTAAGTGTTACCTTTTTTTTTTCCTCTTTGTGGTATCCCAGCATATTGCTCCTCTAGACAATCTCTAGACTTGTAGTTTCTTTAAAGACATTGAAGCCAGTGGTAAAACTTCCTGAAAACCAATAGAATGCCTTTCCAATATAACTGTATGTCACACCTTTGTGGATTAGACTCCTGTATGAAATACCATATTTGACTGACTTTTACAATTTGCTCGCGTTTATTTTGTATTATCTATGCAAAACAATATTCTGACAAAAATGTGGTAATGAAATAATTCTGGAAATAGATTTTCTCCTAAGATGTCAAAACTATGGGATATATGTAAACAAAGTTAACTTGCAAAAAAAAAATCAAATACAGTAACTAGGCAGAATCAACACATGCTTTTATTTCCATTGCATATAAAATTTCATATGAAGGTATCGATGTACAGTACTATCCCATAGGCTGTAAAGAGAGGCTAAGAAACCAGTGAAAGAATAGCCATGTGCAATGTTCACACAAGTTGCCACTCTCAAGACATCCCCAAAGAAAATATTGAATTAAAACAGTAACAACAAATTGTTCAAGATTTCTGTTGTTATAGTGTCCCTTTTATACCATATAAAACAAAAGCATCCGATTTCCTTTGGGCCAGGGCTGCTAAAATCTACAGTTTGTGTCAAAAAGGAGATTCTGTTTTTCCTTGAAAAGGAATCTCTCCTTTCATGAAGAAGTCACAAGTTATGAGGGCTGGGCATCACTGGAATGGAGGAGAGGTATTTACCTTACTCTGGCAAATTCAGTGATACCAGCTCTAAATAGCCTGGAGCAATGTGACAAGTCAAACAGCAAGAGATGCTCAGTCCAACCTGCAAATCTAATAGTAGTGTTATTAAAACATCTAACTGTTTACCGCTCTTCTGCAGAGCTAGTGCATTATGCTATACACACCTGTACAAAGCCTTAGCTACACCTATATAAAATAAAACTTTGGCTACTAGTAACACTAATATTGGTGTTGGAAAGCATTTCCAAGACTGAAACTGTCTTTTGTGCTACTTTATGGACTCTGCTTATACAGTGATAATTTGTGCTACTAAAGAAGAGACATTACAGACAATTGTAAAAGTGTATGAGTTATACCCTTTTAATTCTCATTATTCCATTTCTCAATATGTGTTGAAATCAAATGCTTATCAGAGATGCTTTCCAAAGCTGTTTCAGTGCAACCTAGTACTGAAATGCAGCATCATTTATTTTTTTAGGAACAAAAAACGTCTGCAATAATCCCCAATGACAGGCTGCAAAAAGATAATAAGAGAGACAATACAATTACATTACCAGAAGTCTGGAAAAGCTCGAACTTCCAGCAGGGTCAAGAATGAACGTTTATTGTAGTATCACATATGTTAGCTCATAAGAGTATCCCCCATCAGTTAGCAACTAAAAATATGGTAGAAATGCCCAGCCCTAGCCCCAAGGCTACCTTACTTTCAAATGCAGCAAAACAAGAAAATATTGTTTAAAGTTAAGGCACAGCCCTGGGACCAAAGACCTGAAGCTTTTTAAATTTATATATCTTTACGTATTTTATACTTTTCGTGAATCTTCCATAAATGAGCTCTATGGTGACATTGAATATATTACAGGAGAAAAAAAATGTACAAGGAATATGTATACACAATAATCATTCTCTCACCAAGAGTTTCCAAATACAGCAACACCACCCTGACACGGATGATGTTATAATAAGAACTGATAATTTACAATTAACATTACAGTATGTACATTACAATAAATACATGGTTGTAAACAGAGACAAACAAGACTGTATTACAGGTAAGGTCATTTGGTGAGAAAAATGCATGGCACAGAAAATAAATAATGCATTTGAAAGAACTGTCAAAGCTTTCTATAAAATCTATCTCATTCAAGTTTTTTAAACTTCTGAATGCTATTTGTTCTATTGATATTCTTTCATTATCATTTTTAATGACACAAAACAATTTAAGAATTTAAATACAGCATTACTGAGTACAGCAACTTGCAAGCTAAAGTGTACTGTTATAAACAAGGTGATTTTTCTTTTTTCCTCCTACTCATTACTCGCCCACAGCATTTTCTTATGGCAAAATATTCACAACACATAAAGCCACTCATAAATTGTATTGTTTTAAAGCAGTGTACAATGCTAAAACACACTTTGGCAAAAGAGAAAAAAAAAGATTGTACAGTGCATTATATCCCCAACTCTAAGAAATTATATCATTTTCTATGATTTGATTGTCCACATGTATAGGTGTATATTTCACAATATGGTCTTATGTCTATTTACTTTCAATTAGTGCAGTTACAAAACCTTCCAGGTCCTACGGGTTATTCTGGAATTTATATTGCTTTTGCATTACTGAGGTTCCAGGCACTCTAGGGGACTGAAAGGAGTTTTAGATGGATCAGGTTCAGGAAGAAATAACAAAGAAAAAAGATTAAAAAAAAAAAAAGCCAAAGCATGAAAGAAGCCCCATGAATTATCTTCATTCTTTTTCCTCCTTCAGCATCTTCTGTGCTAAGGCCCTGTGAGGTGAGGGCTAATGGTAGAGAAAACTACGACCTGGACATAGAAGAATGCAAAATGCATTTAACAGCTGAATTATTAGTATTTTGAAAGAGGCTTTTATTCTAGATCTCTGACACCTTAAACCCCCTGTATTCATATCTGCAAATTTGCTACAAAATGAATCCAAAGGGAAAATAACGGCTGTTGCTATCATCTTTTGTTAAGAGATTATCTTGATAGTGTCATTTCAACAGAATTTTACAGTGTTGGAGTTTGCTCGCCTTCCTGTGCAACTATTTCCCATCTTCTACACTCAAAACTACAATTTTAACCAAGAGTAAAGTGTAGGAAATAAATTTTCTTTTCTTTTATGTGAAGAAACAACAGGACTGGAAAACGACAAATACAAACTCCTACCTCCCTTTAGCTTTCCAAGTTATGAAAGCTTTTAGTACCAATCAAACTGAAAGGCAGGATTCCCTTAGCACAAGCTGGATAAAGGTTGAAAATATTTAAGATTGAAATAATATGGCATAAACTACAACTCTGATGATGCATTGCTCATTTACTTAAAACATAAAAAGACAAGACTGGCATGGCTCTTTTTGCAACAAAGACATGACAAAATAATACTAATTATTATTTTTATGTTTACACGTCTCAGATTAGCAAATGATTTAACTAGATAGCTACCCAGATTAAAAGTTGCTAAGTCAAAATTTGAAATATTACACTAATGCTTTTTTCACCAGAACAAATATTCCATACATTGTAATAGCCTGTTCTGATTTAGCAGTCTGTCTTTCCCAGCTAAAAATAGTCTGAAACCCCATGTTTCAGGGGAAAAAATTTATCAGTATAGCAAGAGAGCTGCTTTTGTACTGATGACAATTCATTACTCTTTTTACAGGCTCAGGTTCTGTAAATCTTAACGTTGGTGGCTGTAGTTGGTATCAACAGGACCACTTCTTGTGGTAAGAAGAACTGGCAGGATCAGGCCACTATGAGGGCAAGAGCACTATGTAAGTCCACTAATACATTTGGGAAAATTGTGATGAAAAACAAATAAACAAACAAAAAAAAGCTATTATACAAAAAAATGTAACACAAAGGATATTCCTGGAACTCACTAGTATATAAAATAGACTTTTACAACTCAATAATACCACAAGATTCTAAGGTAAAAAAACCAACAAAACCAAATCAACCAGCCAAACAAAAAAACCCAAAACAAAACAAAAAAAGGAACAAAAAACCAACCAAACAAAACCCCAAACAAACAAAAACCACAAAACCAAACAACAAACAAACAAACAAAAAACCCCAAGCAAAAAAAACCCCTAGAAGTATTATCCAGTGTAGCACAGATCTGTATTGAAAACTTGCAAGTTCCTCTTTGGAAAAAAAATAACCATTGGCAGACGAAAGTGGTTTGTTTTTTTAATATAATACCTTGGTACACTTAATAAAAGTAAGCTCTACAAAAGATCTCTCACATATTATACAAAATGGAGAGGTTAGTGCAACCCACTGGGTCACACTTTTTTCAGTCGTCTCAGGAAGACTTGAAATCAGAAAATTATGCAATTTTCACAGCTCATCTTCCTGTTGGTAACAATCATGTTGTGTCTCATCATTTACATGAATTTGTTTTCCAGTAGGAACCTCAATTTGTTTTCTGTCTGTTTCCTCTCAAGATGAACATTATGCAATGCTTTGCTTGCAAAATACAATGAATTCAAAAACTATCAAAGCACACCAGCATTTGGTTGGCAGGTGGTACTCCTCTGAAAATATTTACTTTATTTAAGTGAATCTGCCAAATGCAGAGCTTATTAAAATGTAGTTTATGGATGTTCTCCCCCTGCTTTCTGATGCCATTGAGGTTAAAATTCTGGTTACGATATTCCTGAGTGCCAAACTGAGTCATCAATGTCAGTTTTGATCAACAATTGTCCTGGCAGATGACAGCAAGTTGTGACCATGGTTGTAGTATATGACATATACTTTGGAAACCATTACCTACATTAAAAAAAAAAAATATCCAAAACAAAACAAAAAAACTCAGAGAGAAAGAGGAAAAGAAAGGGAGAGAGTATAAGAGAGAAAGAGACTGCATTTTCTTTGTTACGTGTCAGGAGAATGATCTTCGACCACACAGGGTTCTGTTTGGTTCTCCTCCTCTTCTACTTCTTCTCCTACTTGCTCATCAAGAGGAATTTCAGTGGATTCTGAATCCTGGGTGCAAAGAGTCTTGGAGTCACTGAAGCTGGTGTCTTCTTCTACTTGACTTCCACTGTCCTTTTCAGTGTCTGACTCACCATCTTCCTCCAGTGTTAGTTCAAACTGAAATTTTTCAGTTTGACCCTGCCTTCCCTCTTCCTGGTCATCAGGTGCAGGAGAGGGACTTCGAGGGATTGTGCTCTGGTACCATTCTCGATTGTCCTCCAGTGTATCTAGGATATCCTGGGCATCTGGGTGAACAAGATCTGCCCACGTCTCCCACAAAGGATGAACAATGTAGTCTATAAAACCCACCTGTTTCAAATAATAAAAAAATATAATTATTCATAAATAATTATGCTTATAAGTCATGCGAAGTATGAGAAATAGAATGCTATTAAGAGACACTATATGCATCACCCTTAAAGTTGGCTGACAGGAAACCATACCAGTTTATGTAGTAAATAAAGTCTTTTACATTTCAAAAGTCTGATTCAGGATATTGGATAAGAGCTTGGAAAGGATTTGTTTTCAAGTGAACTGTTCAATCCAAATAACTGTACTGCATCTAGTCAGCCAAACAGCTGCTTTATACATAATTCTCATTTTGAACGAAACCCTAATGAGCAGCTGTACAATAATCTCTTTTGATGCGTATGCTGCATTGCAAGTCATGACACTGATGGAATCCCTTCAGCAAATACAGAGATGCACTATGTTTTCACAGTAAAAATCTCAGTTCCCCGCACTTACTACTCAGGAGCTGAATTAATTAACTCAGTAGAAAAAAGGAAATAGTGCATTCAGAAATTATTCAAAACATGGCTATGTACCATCCCTTTCTGTCAAAATGTTTACGTGCCTACTGAAATCAATTACCTGTGATTTTTCTACAGATGCATTGTGCTTATCACACATGGGACTTATCTCCATTCCCCTCTCTCTTTCCCGATCTCCCTGACGGAAAAATTCCTCCATTATTCTGTCTGTCCATTGGCGGTAGAGATGGAGCGGCTTGGTTGGATTGCTTAGATCTGCACAGTGCACCATATTCTGAAGAACCTGAAATAGATTGAACACATTGTGGTGTTATTACACTGCAGAATAGCAGCTCCCTTTCCATTTACACTTCTGGTGACTGTGAAACCATCTTGAAAATGTAGTAAAAGATTTATTCTAAACAGCAAAACCTTATGTGCTTGGGTGTTTTTCACGTTTGCAGTAACAGCCATGAATTACCTTGCTTCTGCTGCTTCTGCCTGTATAAAGGCCAGGATATCTTTCTGAGAAAGACAATCACATGCTGATAATTTGAAGGGAAGGCCAAAATCTCATTTAGTCCAGAACCACTCTAGCACTTCATTATCCTCTCAGAGAGTCACTCAGACCATGTCATAGTTAGGAAACAGAGGGAAGTAGCGAGTCATGGTGCGAGAGCACATAGCTTATCTAATTCATGCTGGAGAATGGGGAAGCAAATGTTATTAAGTATGTAAATTAATACAAGTGACCAATTGCAGATGAATTTTCTTACCTGAATCCTGTCTGAATAGTTATCAAGAAGTAGAACACCAGAACTGGTCACTTTTTTAGTTTCAACCATAGTTTTTAGATCAGCCAGTAGATTCATATGCTTAGACATATCTGTTGCAAGGACCTTGAAAGAAACAAACAAAAAATAAACACTATGTAAATTATTCTACTGTGTTTTTTGGTGTTTGGTTTTTTTTAAAAAAAAAAAAAACAACTTTGAACATTTAAACAAACAGTTTTTGGAGGAACCCATAACTTCTGTGTCTGAATACAAGCTAAAAGGCTGAGCCATGTAAGTCACTCGTGTCCGTAATAGTACGTTTTCCTTTTAGTTATTTTAAGACTATGATAAAATGATTGTTCAGAATTGTTCAAAATGATCTGGTCAGCCTAGATTCACCATCAATTCAGTATCAAATTTCTTACTGCGATGGTGGAATGACATACATGTCAGTATAAAACCAGCTTGAAACAGAATTGTATACCTTCTAAAAATATTATTCGATGATTATTGAAACTTAAAGGAACCCACTATTCATGTTTGGATATCACATGATAAAAATTCAAACTTTTACTTCATTGTTTACATGCCTAATTTATCATAATATGATTCTGCACTTTATTATTCAATTTACTAGCTCTATGGAAGATGGAATCTCAAGCAGAACTCACAATATCAATGACCATTTTCCTCAATGACTGCCTTTGTTTTTTGGTCAAATTCTGGAAAATGTCACAATTTTCTTCTTGCAGCAGCTTGAAACCCACAGCTAAGTGATGATTCTCCAGTACTGATGAGTCATTGTACATCAAGGCAAGTTCAGAATCTGCAATAACAATTGCCCGCCAGAACGTTACCAAAGCCTATGCTTCTTCAAAATCCCTTAAGATTTTTTTTTAAATTCATTTTCATTCATAATAAGATTTACAGATAATCTTTTAGAAATAGCCTTCCTGTAGTTCACACTGTATCAAAAGCTACAGAATTAATGACTGAACATCTTAACAGGTCGAGGCAAAGCACATTGAGAAAAACAAAGAAAATGCTTTGCAGTGATGCATGTACATGTGCCTTGAGTGGCAAGCTACAAAAAAACCTGAGAAAGTAATTTTCAGAATACCTTTTTATATCTGCATGTGGTCACTTGGAAAATATTACATACATAACCACACCTCAACTAAAACACACTCTGATGTGTTCTCATGCCTCCATCCAACACGACAACTAAAATTCTATTGTTAGTCAAGTTTCAGCTTTCCAGCACTCAGACCTGGAAATACATAGCTGAGGCTTTGTTGCTGGTCTGCTGCAGCTAGCACACATCTTGGTTTTCAAATAATTTCTTTCTGCAGTTAGCTAAGATGCTCAGATGCCTACCGAACTAGGCCTACAGTCATTAGTCCATGACAACTGGGTATGTTGAGAGGAGGCTTGTTAGGATGGTAACAGCTATGCTTCTGGTCTTGTAACATCATGTGGCTTGAAAATGCACGCAGTGGCCTTGCCTGCAGCCTCATAATGCTGGTTGTAATGCTGCCTTTGCCAACAGAAGTATTCTTAACTCTGTCACCCCATACGGCTGTGAGAACAATGTACACCTGCACAGCCACGCCTGTGCTAAGGCGCACAGATAAGGTCTACGTTTGTCTGCTTAGAACTGCTGAACAGACAGCTCTGACAAAAGCAGTTACTAAAACTTTCTGCACAGCTTTAGCTTCTACCCAGGAATACCATGCAGTCAGCTTGCATATGCTTTAAGACTTGTAAATAAATGTGTCATAAAAATCCCTAATACTTTTTATGCAATCATACTTGTCATGTGCAATATTAACTATTTATTACAGCTGTTCTATCCTAAGTCTAACCACAAATCAGTCTATTCTACTTTTTTCCTCTTTATTTCTTTTAAGACAGCTATGTTTTAAAATGCCTCTGGCTCAATGGGAGACCTCTAAAAGCTCTGGATCTTCAGATTTCATTAATCTCATTATCTATTCTCCTGCTATCTTCCTCTCCTGTCTTGAATAAATTGATCTGTTGAATCAGGAAACTCTTCCTCTGTCTTTCCTTATCCCAATGGCACCAAAACTATAACAGCAGAAGTAGAAAGAAAGCAAGTTTGTAAAATGATCTCTCATCTTTCACAGAACACATACAAAGCTTGCCTACTTATTTTTGTTACAAAGGTGACTTTCCTTTCAAAGCCTTCTGATGAACCACAACTGCAAAACACTCAACATTGTCAAAATACTTTGGATGTGCTGGAGCTACAAACAGAGCTCAAATGTACTCAGCTTTGAAACAGATGTGAAAACAGAAGAAGGTTCCCCCTTGGTAACCTCTGTAACACATCATAAGCTTCAAGAATATTTTTCTGGAAAGACAGTTACAGTCATCAAATAAGCATCTCTGTTGATGCTAATGCAATTCATTTTTTTTTTATTCTTTAATAGCATTCAAGAGGGTCAGTTTCTTTGACAATTCTGTAATAGACTTTAAATAGGAAAATAATATTCAGAAAAATCATGATACTAATTATAAAGAATAAGCCAAAAATATGGCAAATATGTACATACTTTAAATAACTAAGTCTATTATGGTTTTTTTTAAATATATTCTTATACTTCTTAGTGAAATCTTAATACATTTTAAGGTTCACTGGAAAAAAAAACTAGAGGTTTTTTTTGGATTTGAGAGACCTACATTAGATGGTCTTTTTCTGTCTCTGTCCCTACAGTTTATTCCCTGTACACAGAAAAATTTAAAAGGGACAAAATCCCTTTGTTTCTTCCAGCTTGGCAACAGCTGTTCCAATTAATTAGGTTAGCTGACTGACAAAGGAGCCTCCTCTATCAAAACCTGAACTGAGAAAAACAAGATATTTCTTCTAAGTATCAGCATCAGAATGACTGTCTTAGCTGAATTTTAACCATCTGCCTGAAAGTGAAAGCTTTATGTAACACCACTCTCCCTTTAACTAGCCAGTTGTCCCACTTAAACCTGAATGACTCTGTTATTTCCTCATAAAACCTCAGAGACACTAATATATCCTGATACTCAATATCAGATTAAGCAAGCAAAGAAAAACTTTACTTACATATGCCCACTCTTAAAAATTCTGGTATTATACATTGTTTTGTGCCCAAAGTTTGATTCACTCTGCCTATTCTATGTTGCTGAACTGTACTAGTTACCAATAAAGAAAAAAAAAAATAAATCAAGAGTCAATCCCAATCCTCCTCCATGCAGATGAGTCATCAAATTCGATTTCATTATAGGGTGGCCCTCAGGCCATTAAGACAAACAAAACTGGATGAAGACTAAACTGGAATGAACATCTTTGAATACACAGCAGCAATGAGCCCAGAGGAGGAGCTCCCTTCTTAAAACTGTACTGCTGATTTGGGGTCATTCTATTTTAGCACCAGTGCAATATATATATAGACTCATGTGCAAAATATCTATAAATGTGCAACCAAATGGGTAAAAGACACAAACCTAGGTATGTTTCCATTTCTGTGGCTTTTTCTTCTATGCTTGGACTGTTATCATTATTTCAACTCTAAACTTCTGGGTCAGTTATCATAAAAGAAGTCAGACAGCAAAAGAAATAACAGTATGATGTACTGACCTATGAAGTACTACACACTGATGATAGTGACATATGCCAATGAAATCAAAGCAGGTTACACTGGGGCAACAAGCCGTTCAGTAAATGTGTCACAATCAGGTTCAATGAAGCTAACAGTGTCTTTCAGTAGAAGACTAAAAAGTGGAGAGAGGTTCAACAATGCTGCAGACAACAGCCTTGAGAAATGCAGAACAAGTACACTGGGTTTCAAATTTGTAGATGACATTAGGGTCAAAAAAAAGAACAAACAGATTTGCCAGAGTCTTCAGGAACAGGCTGAGAAAATTCACTCCACTATGCATGAGAGATGAAAAGCCAAGTACAGCATCCAAGCAGAGAGAGAGAGAGATAGGCCTGACAGTTAGTTTGCAAAAAAGAAACCTGTTTTCTGAATTTCTATCATTGGTCATATGATATGCTTCCAATAAAAACAAATAAACTATTGTCTTCCTTTTTAATTTTTTTTATTTAATCTTCCTTCATTTTTCTCCTACAAGTTTATTCATTTAATGTAAATCAGCTATTTTCTGGGAGAGACCACATCCAATAAATTGAAAGAATGCCAGGTTTATAGTTCTTAGTAAGTCTTGCTAGAGGGTACTATGTAAAGTATTTCTAAAGTTACAAGAAATGCAAAATAACATCCAGTTTAAAATACAAATACCTGTCTATTTACTGAGAAAAGTTACAGATAGAAGCAAACAAGGAATGAACTGTGTATTTTTCAGGTGCTATGTGCAGATCTTGCAGCAAATTTTTGAAAAAACCACTGAACATCAGACTTACTTGTGTTGATAAGAAACTGGTTTGAAACCCCAGGATGATCTACATCATGTATGGCACTGGCAAAAATTGCTGCAAGAATTTCCAAATCAGTGAACACTGCCTAGAAAATCACGAAACAGAAATGACAATCACTAATCAGTGAGAAAGGGTTTTCAATAAAAAGGACCCTACTTTTAATCTAGATCAGAACAAGCAAAAAAAAATCTGAAATACACTACCAGCTCTAGAGACTTTATACATACGCTATCCCAACCTTTCGTAAAATCATCAAATATATACAATCTCATAAATATTTTGAGTTTCACCGAAGTAAAGTGATCTGTATTTCATACTGAAAACATCACTAAATTCTGTCACAACTGAAGTATTTCCAGCTTCAGTCTGTAAATAAATCCACTTTTATTAGACAATTAAGGACAGTTTTCTAACTTACAGAACAAATTGAAGTTAAATATTTCAGCTTGACTCCTATGTATTGTCCTGTACTTGAAATATGCACATCTCCTACATGATGCTAAAGAAAATGGTGACAGCCTACAAGACATCTTACTTAACAGTTAGTGATTTTTCCATTTGCATGAGATTATTAGGAAGATAGGAAGAGAGAACTGAAACGGACTTGGAATGTCAGTGAGCCCAGTCTCCCATTGTCAGAAGCACCCACATTATATAACTGCTTTCATAAACGATCAAGAACAGCTCAGGAGTGCGTAGAGCAGCAGTGGCACTGGGCGGACATCGCCATTTTACCAGCTAAAGCTCTGCTGAAAAAAAGGCCATGAGGAAAAAAACCTGATGTAGAAAAAAACCCCAAAAATGTTACTAATGACTAGTCCAGCTGTTTGGTGAAGCCAGTGGTGTTTTAAGAACATTATCTATCTTCCTTCTCATGAGCAAGAAAATTCCCAAGTCTCTGAGGATCAAAACCTTCCAACAGTCTTAATGTCCATTTATAACCCTCTTTTTAGGAAGAAAGTAGATATATCAGTAACATGAAAGACTGGTCATTATGAAAAACAGACAAAACACAGACAAAACATTCTTGAAAATGAAGGCAAATCTTTTTGAATTACTAAAATCTCAACAGCTTGCTTTACCTGCCTTTTCCCAACAGTATGCTAGAATATATCGATGTTTGCTATAGTAAGATCTGAACTGTACTTAAAAAAGAAAAAATCTCCCTTTTGTCCTACTTCAGAGATTTAAGAACTTTCAACAAGAGAATTACTATGAGAAGAACATATGATTTTTTCTAAACAATTTAAAAATATTTAAGGAAAGAAAAAAAAGAGATAGTCTAGTGAAAATTTAGTACATGTTCCAATCTGCCTTAGAAACAAATAAAAAATTAGTCTTTTAGGACCAGAATAAATACGCAAAAGTAAAATATATCCTGAAAAATAAACAAAAAAAACCAAAAAGGCCCTACTGAGGAAACCCTATTTTATCACTATCTTTCCTAAGCAATTCCACTCACTGTGGTTAGTGAGAATCCCACATGGGCAATAACGATAGAACAGAATGCAGTATTAATAATGTGATGGTGGAAACAAGATATGCGTTGTGTTACAATGAAAAAGGTTATGACAGCACAAATCTGCATGATTTAAAAAAAAAAAATATGTGATGTTTTTTGACCAATATTTACATGTAAATAAACTTTGATCCTCACAAAGTATCTTTAAAAAAAAAAGATACTCATGGAAGAAATGTTAAGATTTCTTTTAAAAATATGGTGAAAACTAAGATTTAGTTTAGAAGACTCTCAGGATGTCCTCTTCTCTCATGACTACCACTTTTCCTCCTCAGTGTAGTTTACCTCTAACGCTGGGGTTGATAGTAGCACGTGGGTTGACTGAACAACATCTGCAGCATGTATGTTATTGTGATATGCCACATCTGCATGGTAATGGTCTTCAAGGGTCATCAAGTAAGTTATTAAAGTATCTACTGGAATCTTAAAAGTTTTTAACAAGTCTCGTTCCTTTAAAAGCAAAAGAAAAACAATTAGATTACAAAGCACAGAAAAATCTCCAAGACAAGCAAAAACCCTACTTGCTCCTACTTGCCTGAAAAATAGTGTGCATGATGACAGTCAAAGGTCTGTTTCCAGATAACTCTGCTACTCTGAAAACCTGAAGGCCCCACTTGTTCACATCTTCTAGTTCCTAGAGTAGAATCAAGCAATAAACAGGTCAAAACCTAACACAGAAATTCCAGCAATTTTTAACTGAAACAATTGCAAACAATATTCATGAAGATTCAAACCTTCCACTGAGAAAGTTACATGCTAAACTTTGGAATGGCTAAACTCTGGTGCTGCTACTAATCTTGAAACTGGAATTTGTATCTAGCAACTTTTCAGATTTTAATTCCGTAAGTAGGAAAGAGTGCCTTTTAAGTGGATTGCTCCAGAGGGAAACATACTACAGTGTCTTGAATGAGTTTAACTAACACACTTTGCTATCTCATTGCCCACTGACAACAAAGTTCAGTGAGGAGAAAACCTCCAGAGATGCTACAATTCTGCTGCTCTCTCCTCAGAAACACTCTTCAAATAAGATTCCTGAAAATGTAAGGATAGGCATATTTTAAAATGCAAAACTCAATAAAAAATGCCTTCATACCAATTTTCTATTATTGCCAAGTAGTTAGCTGCTCATGCAAAAACATTATAGGAAATTTCACTAAAAAAAAAAAAATACTAAGGATGTACATAAAATGATACAACTAAAAATAGGAAGGATAGCTCTAGTGCTATATACCAGTTGTGCATATTTAAAAATTAGGGTTGTTATATATTTTCATTCCTGTGACAGTACATGGTATATTCGCTTTTCATTTTTCAGATACTATTTACAAATAAGCAGCTTTATTAATGCATACACAAATGCTAATTTACATTCCATCTCCAGATGAAATCCTGTTCATGCTGAAATTAACCCTTGATTCTAATTTTACTTGCTATTCTTCCACTTCAGCAAATTTGGATTATTTCAAGTGAGACCAGCACTTGGTGCTACAGCTTGAAATCAATGTTTATAAGCAGAGGATGGAATAAGACTGACAAGTCCATACTCTCTTTTAATTCAATGGTTTAGATTCAAGAATTTATATATTCTCTACCTTGGCAAGGACATCTTCTTGGTCTGTTTTAACTCCAAATCTGGGAATACTGGAATTAGTTAGGCTAGAGCTGTGCATGAGTTTTTTGACTCCACTGATCTGGGACATCGGCCTTTTCTTTTTCTCTTTCTCTTTCTGTGTTGGAGAAGGGATTTCAACTTCATGTTGTTTGTCTTCAAAAGAATTAATAAAAAGACAATTATTAAAAGAATTACAATTATTATAAAATTCACTGTTGAGTTGCATTGTATGGATATTGTAACTCTTTACAAAACCTTTTTAATGTTAGAAGATTTTGCAACAGATACTTTATATCAAGAGTGGTGAAAACATGAAAAGATAAACATAGACCTATACTTCATTACAAGCAGATCTCTACTACTCAAATTGCCTTATTATTTCTGGACTGGCTTTAAAAGCAACTTGTGTCTGTCTGATTACAACTTCTCCCGCACCCCTCGTGCTGTAAAAAGGGTCAATCTTTTAGTTTTAAAAGTGTTAACAGGAATCCATTTTGCAAGAAAATTTAATTTTTTTTTATATTCCGGGAAAAATACTCTCTGAAATTGTGTTTCAAAAACAATCCAAACAGTGTCTTCATGCAAATCTTTAAAAACTTTTTTAGGATTCAAAGGACCTAATATTTGGGCACTGGTCCTGTCTACTAAGGACCACAGGACTTAGTAACTTGGAAAGCCTTTTGTCAGCCACAGCTACTGCACTTTGCAGAGGCAGTTCATGTCAGCAACGCAGTGTGTTTCTGCACCTCCAAACCAGAGTCAATAACGACAACAAAACAACAGCTTTGCTAAAACCCTGATTTTTTTGATGGGCTTTTGCCTCTATAGCAGTATCAGTAGCATCTCTTCATATAACTCATCAACACATGTGCCAGCAAAACTTTAGACAAGGATTAAACTGAGAGTAAAGTATATTTGCAAGATGATTGCTGTAGAAAAAGTATGAGGTTGTGGAGCATTGAAGACATCTGTGGTCCCTGAAAAAACCCAAGTTAGTTCAACGAGGGACTCTCTTGCCAAAACAGTTAGGAACTTGCATTATTTTTTGTTCCTTTTATTCATACTGTATTTCAATGTAGACTTTTAATTATTTTCTTTAAATGTACCTGAAATGTTGAAATGTACCTCCACCTATTCTAGCCCTTAAGGAACATACCAGTAAAATCAGGAAAATCCAGAAAAAATGTTTTTAACACAGGAGGTGAGCCAAAACAAATTTAAAAAACCCTTAAATTTTAAAAATGAAAATAAGAAAATTTGGGCTTTTTAAAATACGTCTTTTTTTTTTTTCCTGTAATATTCATTTTCACTATAGAGTTCGAAACCAGATGAGGTCAGCAAGTCCATTTCCAGTTACCAGCTTGTTAAGTGTTTGCTTCTTCACTTTTCTTCCTCTTTTTTTTTAATTACCCTTTAGCAGCCACATTTAATAGACATCTCACAGAAATGTCACCAAGTTTTAGCCTGCAGCTCCAAGTTACCTGATTGCCCCGATTCTTCACCATTCTCTTCATATGGAGAAAAGGGGAGGTGGAGCACTGCAGCCTTTGTCTGGTACAAACTAACAACAGATGAGGAGCAGTGACTCGTGTTTGTGCTTTGATGTTTATGGTTTTGGTCATATGCACAAAAGTTTAGACCCATCTAAGAAAAATTCGTAAGCTGAGCTGTCAGACTAACTCAAGTGGAAGGAAGTGTCTGTCTGAATGACTTCAGATCTCCAGAGAAATTAGACAGGACTTTTGCTTTTTTATCTGTGAGCACATGGGGCTGTGCCCATCTGAACATCCAGAGAAGACAGCTTGCCATTTTGACCCTGTTTGTGCTATGCTCAATGACAGGTTCTCAAACATTTTCCATTCATAGAAAACAGGTTAATGATGCTGCAAAAGAAAAACCTCACATATTATTATGAGCAATGTAGGAGCCTTAATTCTTACACATAGAATGTATTTGTTGCCATTATAAATAGCTTCATACATGTCATATAGCCCTATGGGAAACAGACCTTTTTTTTTAAAGTATAAGAAGAACAGAAAATACTGTTTTCTCATGACACATTCCTAAGTTACAAATGTGAGAAAGTCTGTAGATGTTCAGGAAAAAGATTATATATTAAAAAAAAAATAAATTAGACAATAACTAATAAGTAGAGTTACTAGTCTATATTTAATGCATCTAATAACTAGAATGATTAAATTTTTCTATGGAGAGAATGTTTTCCCTCTTTACATAGTTGCTCACAACCTATATACTTAGACTGCATATTTTGAAAATACTCTATTTAAGCAATACATCTGTAAATGAGGTGTTTCCACCGTTGTATTGCTCTTAGGTCTATATTTTTAAGTATCCAAGTTTTTCATGAAGACGCAAAACAGTACCCATGGCTCAGTAACTTAGAAGTGATTGCCTTTCCAGCCCTCTTGCTGCTCACGAGCTCATGCGAAAGGCTGCCAGATGCATTTCCTTACCCTGTCAAAGTAAGTCTTAAGTTTTCAAGTAAAAGCTGGCATCTCAGTTTTTGCAACCTAAGTGGGTCATCCTCTCAGGCAACTGTACAATGTGACTTTCAGGTCTTCTGAAGCTCGGCAGTATTGCCTCTTCTCCATGACATCCCCTTCTCACTATCTGTAACCCTGCTGTGCCGCAGCTCTCGGCCACTCCTGCAACTGTGGGCCAACTGAACAGACACTAAGCAATTAATTTAGGACATGGTGAGAGGATAAAATGTACTTTAAAAAACCCCGCTTCTTTAAAAAAAAAAAACAAACATGAAAAGCATCAGCTATTGTATCTCACGCAGAACAAGATGGATCTTAACATATAGGACTGGCACTTTGCAAAGGACTTGTTATCCTAATTGGGATGTATTCAGCTGTGCCACTCCTTATATGCACAGCCTTTATGAATAAATGGTGTTTTGCTCAAAACACATTTGAGATTGGTGTAGTATCTTTATCTTCATATTCAAAATCAACACTATGGAATGAAGTTTTATTGATTTTCATGAATTTTAGGAAAGAAAAAAAAAACTATAGAGGAGGAACCACACTCTGTAATATTGCGCTGGGCTTTTGTTAATGCTCACATCCCACCAGATCAGGCTCTTCAGCTGCACAAATTTTCCTGGCAAAAGTTTGTTTAGATGCTGACTTAGTTATTCATCAGGGAATACCCAAGTATCTTAACTGCATGCTATGAGGTTTTGTGAGGTTATTTGTTCTTGCATGCCTCTAGCACACTAAAACCTCTGCTGCAATTCCTGTAAGGAAAATATAGGGGAAGACTTCTTTTTAACATATAATTAATTCATTATGTATTACTTTCTTAATACAGTAGCAATATAGTAGTTGTAATGTTACAGGAAAATATATATATATGAATATTTATCTGTAATTACATACACAGGGAAGTTACATACACACACTAACTGAGCTGTGAGGAAATGGATCTAAACTGATTTCTCTGCACAAACACTGAACAATGAGATGCACAGTTTCTGAAAGCAGAAATTAATATGGAAGGCCACTTGCTTTTAAGCTCTAAAACAGCCCAGAGAGATATAAAAAACATCCACAAGGCAAAAAAGTTAACTCTTCATAGTCTTACCTAAGAATGTGTTTGATATATATTCTGAGACCTGATTGCCTGACCTGCTCATTTCAGATAGGTGGGTTAGCTCCCGGTTGAGCATTCTTTTAAACTGGAAAACAAAACAAAAAAAAGTAGAAAGTCAGTGATTAAGATGCAGGTTAGGACAAAAAAACGCAATCAATTTATAACTGGGGAAAGGACATGATGTTATGAATATATACTACAGTAAGATAACTCTGAAAGTAGAAATCCGTGTAGCGTCGCTATACCTACCAACTTATTCATGGGTTGGACAACATCAATCATAATTCTTAACCTCCTAAAATACACCACAGGGATTCAATGTCCTACTAGTAACTGAAAACTCTAAGACATACATATACACACAAATAATGTTATTGTCTTTCCAATTTTTTTATTTTCATTTCAAAACTAAATACAAAGGTATTTATGTAGGACCTGTTCTCTACCAGCTTTCTCATCATATTTGTAAATTAATCTATTTTTGCATTTTTTTTCAATTCATGTGGTAATATTTCAGTTTTATCTTACCTCTCCTCATTAATCTACTCAAACGTATTTGACAGCATTGCTCAAAACAACCAAAATATCATACCGACTTCCTACAAGCCAATATGAATAGATACAGGTTATGTTGTCTCTGACCTAAAATTATTATACCTGATCACCCCAATGATTTGACTTCCGAAAACTATATTCATCTCTATGAAACACTGGCGTAGAAAATACCCACCTGTAGAAACACCTTCCACTTCCCTCTAAGTTAGCAATTCACTCTAGGCACTTCACAGGGTAGAAGTGGACACTAATATTCCAGGAAATGTGTAATTGATTAAGTACTCATGACTGAGCCTCTCTTGATTCCTTTTAGACTCCAGGGTGAAATGATATACTGTGTCATTATGCTTGACAAGTTAATAGCATAATACAGCTCTTGCTATCTTAGATGCATTTTCACTGACTATAGCTCTGCGCTGATATAGCCAACAAAGAGAACTCAGCAATACTATTAACAATTGCAACAACTCTTGCCAGTGCAAATTAGCATGCATCTGTCACTACTAAATTTTGCCTCCTATTGTGCCACCCTTTCATTTTGTTGTTAGATTTCTTGGTCATCTTTTTTCTTAACAAAGGCAAATGATTTGTGCCATTTTCAGAATAATCTTTCACCTTGTTCAGTCAGTTATGAATATTTATTACATCAAGCAATAACTATCCTTAGTATATATACCTTAAAACATTAATCTATGTTGAAAACTGGTAATTTATAATTTATTCTTCTTCAAAGCAGATAAACCACTGGAGTAAACATCAACCACTGCCTTTCCATTCTACTGGAATTATCAAAGCCCTCTCTTCAAAGAGGCCTTGCATAATGAAAGGTGTTATTTTTTTCAAAATATCTTTGTAAGTCACCAATTACTGTATTGCTCACACTGTACGAAATAAAAATTACCTTTAATATAACACTCTAACCATTAGCCACTGCATTTTCCTGCCATCTTGATATGCCATCAGCTCAGGAAGTTCCAGAGCCACAAAGACTGAATCCTACTTTAGTCACAAGCCAAAGGCTCAGCTTTGATCTCAGATACAGTTGTGTGCTAGCAAGTGCTCAACACATGTCTGAAAATTAGGACCATACTGCAAATACAGCTACACACACTGTGAGCTACAGACCTATACATTCTGGACAAAAACAGTGTCAGCCTCTTTAGCAATGTTTAATGTTTGTCACCAATGTCAAATGTTGAAAAAAGAAGCCAACTTTGCCAAGCAGTAAAATGACTGGTCCAAAAATCCTAAGACCATTTTTTAAAGTCTATCTTTAAACTTTTAACACACTTAAGTCATGCTTGCACACTTTATCTTCTGTTCTCGTAAAGGTGAGAAATGGAATTGAGGCAAAAACTGAAGATCTCAGGGATTAGCTTGTCTCCAGATGGCATTCAGAAACTGCAGCTTCAGTATTTATTGTACAGATGTCTGCAGCAACTGGAAGGTACGTAACAGTCTTTTCTAATGCTGTGTTCCCCATTAGTTTGACACAAACCCTCATCTTCCCACCTTCCACCACCCCACAAGTCAGTAGAACATAAAAGCTCAACCATCTGCATGAGAACTGCAGAACAGTCTATGCTACTGCTGAACATGGGTGTACAGTAAAATAAGTCCCTCAGCTTCTGCAAGGCCCTCCTGCTAAGAGCAAATTCAACTGGAGAAGCCTTTGGCTTTGAAGAGCTGTAGCTGTGTGATTTCCTCAGTCTTTCATATATTACTGACACTACAGCAACAAAACTTAGACATTTTTTTGCAAACTTCTGGACTAAGCAAAAGTTTAGAGAACTGTTCTGATTTTCTCATTATATGACAAAGCCTTACAACCCTCATCACCACTGGATCAGATAAAGTTGAAGACCATATGCAGACCACAGTTCCTGATGCAGAACAATAATGGGTCTTCGAGAACATTACAAAACCAGAAAACCAAACCAAAACCATAAGAGATAAACAGTGATCAAGATATTCAGGCATTTTTATTCGTTATACCCTGTTTCAGTATATCTGTATGTTACTTAATCCTCTGATTAATAACTTGCCTTTTAGCAAAAAAAAAAATGCTCTTTCTAAGAAAAAAAACCCCAAACCCAAATCTCCTACTTTTTCCTGATTTTACCTATTTCTCAAAGATTTCATTGAGCCCAAGTGCACCCATACATAGTTGCTCCTTCAATGATCCACATATTTATGCAGCCCTGCACAATTACTTTATAATAAAATTCTGCCTCTGACATGGCTCCCACAAAATCCTATTGCCAGTCAGAGAAGTTTGTTACATCCATGAGCCAACACTTTTTCAGTCATCCAACAGACACCCCTAGGTGCTTGAAAAAAGCACTTCATACTCATCATTTGTCTTCCTGGAAACAACAACAAAACAATTCAAAAAAGACATGAAACCATCTTGTCCCTAATAGTGGTAAATCTTAAGGATAATATCTTAAATAAGAATTTTAAAAATCTGAATGCCATATACTTTCCCAGTTGATGAAAATAAATCAGAGTGATCAAAGCTCTTGTTATGAATAAACATTTACACCATGGACTTTAATTATGATATTGTCAGCTCAGCATGGGGAGGAAGCAGAGGTTTTTGACTGATCTATGCATATATTGTATTCTTCCTCAGACAGAGAGATTTTCCCACATTAAGACTAGGCATTGTTAGATTGCAAAAATGACATCCTTTTGGAATATCACACTCCTTGACTATAGTCTTACAAATTCCCCCTAGAAATGGAGATATGCAGATATAAAACGTGCATTAATATACAGTTCTGCACTGTTGAATACTGATGCCACAGCAACAAAGCCATAAAAAATTGTCTAAAAATATCCTAAAAATATTCTCTTAAGCAGAATTTGTAAAATTTCATTTGTTTCTATTGCTTTTAGTGATTTTTATCTCAGCTGAGGTGTGTGGTGGGGTAGAGAGGATAAGAAGGTACAGAACCCTCAACACAAATACAGACAGAGCATTCAAATAACTTTACAAGTCTCTCCAAAGTACATATGCAATTTTATCTCCATTTAAAAACCTAGGAAGTCTGTTGGAGTGAAAACTAATACATGAGAATAGAAGTGCACACATTGATGATAATGAACTGAGAACAATATCCCAAATAGTGTTAACCTCCTAAGAACAGGTTTGTAGCTTAGGTCCTTCTGAGCTGAAGCCCAGTGTGTGCATATCTCTGCTTATATATATTACTGCTGTCAACCTAGGATAAACATACATTTTTTGGAAAAAATAAGGTACTTTTCTGATGGCAGCAAAGACACATAGAAAAAAAAAAGACAAATATTTGCAGTAACCATTTTCCCATATGGCAGCAAGAGCACTGATACATTTTTGGGAAGACTTTGCATGTATAGTATAAAGAAATTATCAATTCCAAGATCTAACTAGAGTCAATACATGGTCATGAAAGAGTTTGGGCTGCATGCTTAATATACACAGGGGTTATTGTTTACACATAAGAACATTTTACAAATTTTGTATAAAGTTCTTGACTCAATAACAAAAAGCTTAAGTCAAACAATCAGCCAGCAGTTAGCTGTATTGAGAAAGGAAGCACAAAGAACCACTCTCAGGGCAGATACCCTCTTCTGGTATTGTCTTTTCCATGCAGGCCTTCTGTTCCTCAACAGAAACCTGCACCACCCTAAGGACTGTAAGAGGCTGTCACCACCACAGCCTACAGCACCCGTACTGAAGGCGAAGCTAGGGCTAACTAGGCAGTCCATGGACCAAAAAGCCCCATCTTGTCCTTCAGTTTGAGCATTAATCAAGTTCCAGCTCCAGTGAAGGCTGAAACAAAAATGGTCAAGGGCAACTGAAGACTTTCACTGCACTGGTTCCCAAATCCACATGGCAACAGATCCCAGTTTCAGCCTTTCTGGCTGCCTCTATTCTAGGTAACATTTGTAAAAGCTTACATGAATAGAATACATCCATGAAACATTCATTCAATACTTGGAACATTCAACTTACATGACTGTATTTTGTTTCTGAAACAAAATTTTTTTTAAAAGACGTTTAACTCAAAAAAGAATAAACTATACTATTTTACTGGACTTAAAAAGTCTTGTATTCTACAATAAAACAAACAAGGAATTCAAAATAGGTCAGCCTTACTAATTAATCTAAGGCTTCTGTCTATATTGCTTATCAATGCAAAATTACCTTGGATTTTAGCAGTATTCCTAATATATAAACAAAATTCTTAATAGCTACAGATTTGCGTTAAAGCACTTCATGTGTTTAACTAATATGAAGGTCAGACACTAGTTTTTATACATAAGCTATGAGAGGTTAGCATTGGGATAATATCACTATCAAGAAAAAATACTCAACAAAAACAGAGGATAAATACTCCACATGACAACCATTATCTGAAATAAAATTCACAGGAGATAAAGTATAGCCTGAAGCATATAGAAATATATGTATAATAAGGGATGTAAACATGTACAATGATCTCTGAGAATAAGATGTTTCAGTCTTTAGAATTTCATAAATAC